GACTGATTAGTATATTTTGTTTCATTGATGTAATGGAACATTATTTACTAACAAGATTTATATATATATATATATATATATATAATTATTTTTTTTTGTGAATCAGTGTATTGCCTACATGTCCTGCAATGCCTGCAGAGGTCAGAAGAGAGCTTCCAATTCCCTGTAACTGGAGTTATAGACAGTTAGCTATCATATGGGTTGACACTGCCCCCCCAAAAAGGTGGAGAGTGATAGAGGAAGACTCCTGATGCCAATCTCTGTTCTCCGTAGGTGCGTGCATGGGCAATCACATCCTCAAACACATGTGAATGCACACAAAAAAACCAAAACTGTATATAATAGCTTCCTACTTAAAGATATCCAAGGCCAAGCTCAGTGATACAATTCTGTAATCCCAGTTCTTGGGAGCTGAGGAAAGGAAATGAGGGAATTTGAGGCTGGGCTATAGAGTGAGACTGTCTCAAAAAGATAAAAGGCATCCAAACTATGTTTCTATTTTATTGACAGGATTTTTTTTTTAATATTTTTATGTGTATGCATGCATTGCCTGCATGTAGGTAAGTGCGCCCATGTCGTGCAAGGCCCGCGGAGGACAGAAGAGGCTGTCAGATCCCCTGGAACTGGAGTTAGGGACAGTTGTTAGGGGCAGCTGCCATGTGGGTACTGGGATTCGAACCTGGGTCTCCTGTAAGAACAGCCAGTGTTCTTAACCGCTGAACCATCTCTCCAGCCCCTGAGATAGGATCTTATGCAGCCCAGGCTGGCCTCAAACTCATTATGTGGCCAAGGATGACCTTGAACTCCTGATCCTTCTGCCTCTACCAGGATATAGTCCAAGGATGCATTTTCTTTGACTTAAAGGAATTTGCACTGGGTTTGGTGGTACACATATGTAATCCTAGCACTCAGGAGGCTGAGGCCAGCCTGGATTACACACAGTAAACCAGAGTCCAGAGAATCCTTAATATTTAAAGGCACTGCCTGTAAAACTTTAATCAAAGATGTGTGGGGCTTATAATATCCAATGACCCCTGTGGTTTGACATGCATACTACATTGGGTTCTGACTAGATTAATGCTATGGCCAGATTGGCAATTACAGCTCATCAGTATCTCCTGCTAGAGAGCTGTTATTAAGGAATCAGGAAACCTGTACCTGACTTTCTCACCTCATCTTAAGTTCTGTTCAACTTACAATGTTTCCACCTAAAATAGTACTTTTCTAATGTCAAGTGGCTGCCAACGGCTTATAAAGCATCAAAGACACAGAGCCTCAATCTATTCAAAATCTAAAAGAGCTGGGCATGATGCCATACCTATAATCCTAGCACTTGAGAGGCTGAGGCAGGAGAAGTTCAAGCTTGAGATTTACCCGAGCTACATATGGAAACTCTACCTTAAAAAAAGCCTGAAAGGTAACTTACTGTGTATTTTAAATATTTTATTTTATGTGTATGTGTGTATTGCCTGCATGTAGGTAAGTGCACCCATGTCATGCAATGCCCGAGGACAGAAGAGACTGTCAGATCCCCTGGAACTGGAGTTATGGACAGTTGTTAGCTGCCATATGGGTGCTGGGATTTGAACCCAGGTCTTCTGCAAAAACAGTCAGTGTTCTCAACTGCTGAGCCATCTCTCCAGCCCCCCCTTACTAGGTATTTAATGAGAGACACTGTATAAGAATGCTCACAACATGCTCTGGGTGAGAGCTGGTATTTCTATTTTAGACTAGGCCTTGAAGACATGAAAAATGACCATGCCCAGTGTCATGGCTAGAAAATGGTTGGGATCTACAGTGCCAGGTAGAACTACTTCTTAACTACTGTAGTAATGACTGAAAGTATGTTGACACCTGTTAAGAGTTTAGGGTTTTATTGACTGGAGATATGTCTCAGTTGGTAGAGTGCTTGCCTCATATGCATGAAACCCTGAGTTGAAGCACATAAACTGGGTGTGGTGACGCATGCCTGTAATCCCAGCACTGACATGAAGGAGGATGAAAGTTCAAGGTAATCCTTGACTGAATTATCAAAGTCAAATCAGCCTGGGATAAACAAAACCCTGTCTCAAAAATAAACATGAAAAAAAAAAGAAAAAAAGAAAATTTAAGTTTCACTAGTACTTCATTTAATCCTCACAAGCCAGAGAACTTGTGCACATTAAAACTCTCATCTTTAGCAGGCTGGAGTATCTGACACCTGTAATCTCAGCACTAGGTGAGGCAAAAGATTTTGAGTTTGAGACCAGCATAGGGTACATAACAAGTTCCAGTGCTACAAAGCAAGACCCTGTCTCAAAAACAACAGTAAAAGCCACAGGAGACTGAAACCTAGGGAATATGACAGGTTTGGAGCTCTATGATGTGCCTAAAATTACAAGAATGACAAATTATCCCCAAAATGAAACAATAAAATGCTAATAGATCTGTTAAATTACATATATGTAAAGAATATATTTTAGGGTTCAAATGGTAAAGGCACTTGCTGAAAAGCCTGCAGATCTGAGTTTGATACCTGTGATCCAGAAAGAGGCAGGAGAGAACAATAAAGTTGTTTTCTGATCTCCACATATGTGCATGTGTATGCTGACACCATACACATACACTATAAAAAAAAGGGGGTGCCGGGCGTGGTGGCACACGCCTTTAATCCCAGCACCTGGGAGGCAGAGGCAGGTGGATCTTTGAGTTCCAGGCCAGCCTGGTCTACATAGTGAGTTCCAGAACAGCTGGGGCTACAAGGAGACCCTGTCTCAAAAAGACAAAAAAAAAAAAAAAAAAAAAAAAAAAAAAAAAAAAAAAAAAAAAGGGGAGGGTGAGTGTGGCTGGAGAAATGGCTCAGCAGTTAAGAGCATTGATTGTTCTTTGGTTCCCAGCACCCACATTGTGGCTAACAACCATCTGTGTAACTCCAGTTCTGGCTTCTTCTGACCTCCACCCATACTACACAACATGGGTGCACTTATATACATACAGGCAATACACTCATACACATAAAATGAAAATAATAAAAAAAATATTAAAAAAATAACAGGGCTGGAGAGATGGCTCAGTGGTTAAGAGCACTTGCTGCTCTTCCAGAAGACCTGAGTTGGAGCCCAGAACCCAGGTCAGGTGGCTCACAGCCCCCTGTACCTCCAGCCCCAAGGGATCTGATGCCCTCTTCTAGTATCCAAGGGCACCGGCATACACATTCTCTCTCTCTCTCTCTCTCTCTCTCTCTCTCACACACACACACACACACACACACACACACAAATTTTAAAAAGAATACATTTTAAAAGTTAGTGTTGCATGCCTTTAATCCCAGCACTGGGAAGGCAGAGGCTCTATGAAAATCAAGGCCAGGCTGGTTTACATATTGAATTCCAGACTAGGTGAGACTAAATGGTGATCCTGTCTCAAAAAAAAAACAAAGAAAAAGAAAAAAACCACAAAAAAAA